AATTAAAATTAGTCATATATGTTGAATTTGCTAATTTGTGTGACTGTCCTATAGACTTTAGATAAAGATAGATGACATGACTGCTGCCCAGAAGTGAAGCCAAAGCTCTTTGGTCATCACCTGGTGGCTGGCTGCAGTGTAGGTCACAAATCCTGCCTCTCCCATGTTAGTGATAGGGACATGGACCAAACAAAAAAGTCAAAGTACACATCAAATCCCAAGTGACAAAAAAAAGGTGCTGTATAGATTCAAGTTATTATTAAGATGGCAGCTTGGTATCAAGGATATTTGGGCTTTATTTCTGGATAGTGGTTGTGAGAAACACCAGAGGATTCACACACTCATACCCCTGCAACTTAATGAATATCTGTTTGAAGTGTTTGAGATATAAAGTAAAAAAAGAGGGACATAATTAAATGACTCCCACTGTAAAACTCAATTCTGTGTGTGGCCTCCAGCAGGAGACAGAAGCTCTGCACCAAAGTGACTCGCTTGTTTAGTTATTTCAGGCTGAATGTAATGTGACATATGACTCAGGCCATATTCACAATGAGCATATTCCACATCTGTCAGCTCTTATTATGTCGTTTGTGGAAGTGACATGGTCTCAGAAGAAAGAGCCAACGGAGGGTGTGATATTAAAACAAATGGTGGAGGAGTGAGCAGACGGAAGATTGCTTTTTGAAGGATGGTCTCATTTGCATGACAGCCACTGGCAAATTGAATACAGGATCTGAGCTGCTGGTGCTGCTCTGTGAATGCGTGTTAATGGGCTTTTCTTCTGGTTCACAAAGCTCCATTATTACTGAGCTCAGGGAGGTTTTTTATGTAGCATGATACTCAAATTTATTCCTCATTTTCCCCTTTTCTGCTTCCAGGTCAGATCCAAGAAGTGTCCCTGAGCCAAGACGAAACAGCTCCTCAGGTCGAAGTAACGCCGGAACTTGACCTGGAGGTTGTTCCTGAATCATCCGGAGACTGGCAAAATGTCTTTCCCTAAGCACGAACCACGAGTCCTAAGAGTCAAAAAGCACTGAGCAGTGTACTTAGCACTGAGTTTTACAACTGATGAATATGTCGAACATATTCCTGCTGTCAAAAGGGTTATCTGGTTCGAAGAAGACATTTAAGACCTTTTAGATTTGCTCCACTGTAAATCAAGGGCTTTTATCGTGGCGGCAGCAGCCCCCTACTGTTAGTCCAAATTAGCAGAGAACTAAATAGAGTCTGGTTCCTTCTGATTGGCTTAATGACATTTATCTGTTTTTCTACTGTCTGATTTCCATCAATATGATAACCTCCGGAGAGGTTTGGCTCAATAAACACAGGCATCCCAGAGAATTCTCCTCCAGTCCCTCTAATGCCGCCTGTGTTCAAAAGAGAGGAAATATGAGTTTTTGCGAAAAAGAAGTTCCCCGGAGACGAGTGTGTTGTCTCTTCATTATTGGTCTGCTCCCAGTTATGTACATGGAGCTGCAAACAACTGCACTGCTGCCATCGCTTCTGAAGCATCTGTGTTACAGCACATAGCATAGAAGAGTTTTTGTTTCACTTATTTATACTGTACATATTTTGTCTTGAAGTGAAATATCATTTGCAGTTTGTTGCGTGTATGTTTTAGTTACAAAGCAGCATCGCACATGTTTGTAAAGATCGTCTGTGAGGAAGCTGTTCTGGAGCTTTTTGACTGAACAGGTCAGCATCATGTTTTCCTGTAGCCACGGTATCATTTAGTTCATGCTGTAAATAGTGTAGTTAGATTGCGTTTATATTTTCTGTGAACTGGCTCAATATAGGTTGTTTGAAATTATGTAATTTGGGCATAATGTTGCATTTGTTATGAAGCAAAGCCAATGTACAGACAATAAGCTGTTTTTTTCTTTTTTTGCAGTTGTATTTTCTATTGTCCATAGTAAATTAAGAGGATTAAAGTAATTTTTCTACAAATTTAAACCTGTTTCTTTTTGTTTTTGTGAAGCATTTTCTGCATTTTGAAGTTTACAGGACAGTATTATCACACAGATGTAATCGAGTTGTTCATATCGTGGATGCACTGTTGACTGATTCCTCTCGCTGGTTTCATGCTGTTTGATAGTTTACGTGAAAAGAAGCAGAGCAGCACAGAAGAGCTCAGAACCATGTAGTTATCAATTTATTGGGGGATGAGGGGGATGCCCCTTAAAAGCAAAATTACCTAAAAACCATCCCTGTTACTAACCTGCTAATCCTGCCATCCCCTCTCACCCTCCCCATAATATGTCTGTGTTGGTTAAGCATCTTATAGTTAATGCTGCTAACTAAACCCTGGGATCCACAGTTTAGTTTTAAGAGTCGAAACTGAATGCCATCAAAAAGAATGAAAAAGTGGACAGCTGTAAGTACAGGTGTGAACACATTTAGATCGGATAGCGATCCAATCGCACCAGACCATATTCAGAGGTGGTTCTGGGCTGCTTGTTCACATTCTCTTAGCAGTGTGAACACAAATACGTCCTGGGCCACATATGAAGGATCACGATCACGTGTTGGGCCACATCTTAATGCCAGGTGTGAAGGCACTCAGAGCTGTCCACTTGTGTTTAGAGCACAAACACCACCCGCAGCACCAGGAGAAACCTTACAGACATCAGTGACCTGTGGTCCACGGCCATCCATAATAATAATTTTACTGTCTTCAGGCAGAAGTCAGAATCTTCCTGCAAGTTACTGATCTGGCAAATCAAACACATAAAATCACACACTCCAGGGATATTACTCTGTACGTCCATTGTTTTTCCACAGTGGAGGATAAAATAAATATTGCTGTGATATATTAAGAGAGTTGTAAACTCCTGTTTCATAGTATCATAAACTGTTGGGCTGCAATAAACAATCACATTTGGATATATAGTCGATTAGACCAAGAATCATTGTCCTCTGTCTTCCCTCAGACTCTCACAGGGTTTACCCAGCTCTAACACTGTGATTATACCTGAGCCTGAAGAAGCTCCGGCTGCTGCAGCTCAGTATCATGAATAACGATCACTCACTCAGCGGCGTAATGAAAGAAACAATGTCACACCTCTGTTCGCTGTGGAGCTGTGACCCGACCCAGAATCACAAGTCACTTCACTTTTAATGCGGTAAACAACGCACATACTCCACGAGACAGAAAATAGAGTTGGTTTTATCATTTTTATTTATTTTTCATTCTCAGTTAAGGGGCTGGTCATGTTTTATTACACATACAATAATGAGGAGGATCTTTACATTCGTTCACTGGGGGGAGTAACAAACACTACACAGCACTCAATGAGGCTCAAGCACGCACAAACTGAAGGAGAGGCGGACGCCACACTTCACACACAGGCCTGCGTCGGGAAAGAGGGGATGTTTGGAACAGCACGAGTGGTACAGTGCTGTCAGACAACGTGCACGTTTTCAAGTCAACACTTAATAAGGTGTCAATACAGAGTTAGTTACAGAGCACCTTCTTGAAATTGTGTTGTTTCTATAATTATCCACAAAGAGGAGACACAGCACATTGTTTTTTGGTAGTCAGGAGGAAAAGGCACTTGTGCTGTGCTTACAAACATGTAGAAGACTAAAGCAGAGATGGAAGAGTCGGAAAGTTTGAAAAATGGAAAATAGTTGACTACTAAATTCTTTAGTTCTACATGTGGAAAGGAAGGTAAATCATTATCTCGTGGACTGAAAAAGAAACGACGCATTAGAAACAAATATTTGATCTACTGCTTACGGCGGCTACTACAGGATCTTGATTTTAGAAAGTTAAGAAGTGTATCTTTCACTACAAAAAACCCAAAGCCAGCCGTAACGACAAACAAAGATCGACATGACATTCAAGACAGGACACTTAGCGACAGCTAAAGACACGAGGGTGGAAAGAAAACAGACAATGGCTCTCATGACAATGTGAAAACTGTTACATATATTATTAGAAAAGAATCAAACACAAGGTTTGAGACGTTTGACGAATGACAGCGCGACAAGACAGAAAATCGCTCTTTACTAAAAACAGAAACCACCCGGCCTTTTCATCCGAGTCAACGAGCGGCAATGACGGTCAAGTCAGTCGGACTTGCACCGGCCTCAGCTTTCAACTGCTCCGGGTGTGCTTCAGTTCAGCCACCTTTATTTTAATTTTAGAGAAACTATGTGAGACGTCCACAGAAACTCAAGCAGCACACGTATCAGGTGGAGAGAGCCACGGCGGGGGTCATTCAGGCTGCACATGTGAGCGGCTTCAGGGTCAACTTCAGCAAACAGTTCAAGGCGGTGATGATGACGACTACTCAGCGCAACGCATGCAGGGAGGGTTGCGGGGGAGGGGGGCAACAGATTGTGTCGCTATCGACCAGCCAAGGCGAGTGGAGGGGGGAGGGGGTAAGGATAGGCGAGGGATTTAGCGAAACATTAAAGTGTTATCAGAGGTGGAGGGGAGGTCGAGTGTAAGCGGGTGACAAGGTTTCCTCCTTTTCCTCCTCTTTATTTTTTCTTTTCTCCCCCACGTTAGTTCCGTGTTCTTGAACGTCTGCCCTCGAGCTGTTGGAAGGGGGTGTCGAGTGGAGAGGGACCTCAGCGTTTGGCTGGAGAAGCGCTCCTGCTTCCCTGCAAAACACACAAGACGTAATCAGATGTTAGAGATGGATGTGGAGGTGGCAGCCCTGCATGTCTGGTGTTACAGAACCACTGTGATGTTTCTTCTTTTGCATCAAGATGCGATGAGAGCGTTCACCTCAGTATAAACACGTCTACCAGCAATTAACCTAGAGTTCGCCATTGATGACATATCATACACAATTTGAAAACATTAGCTGTCTGGAAAACTTGTCACTTCCTGTGTGAAAAAGATGAGAGGAAGAACAGCGGTTTCATGCGGGCTGAGACTGAAATCACTCACTGATCACTCTGTAGTGACTTTGCCATTCTCGAGTGCTGTTGGAAAGGTTAGTTCATTTTTATACCCTACATAGTGAACTCTTTGTATCCCACAATGCATTGTGAAAAGGTAGATGTAACACCTACCAATACAACCTATGTAACTCAACAGTCAGGAATGTGATGCAGACACTCAGGTGAAGGGAAATGTTTCAGTATTCTCAAAAACCTCTTTTTTCTCATAACTTTACTACATTATTATTTTTCTATTTATAGAAAATGGTTTATGCTACAGCAAGTCTGTGCTGTTTTTGTCCCATGAGAGAAAATAGAGTTGCAGAGTTGGACCAGAGGTAAAGTTGTGAGAACATATTGTTTCACAGATCCTGCAAATGTGTCCTTGAGGTTTTCAGAGAAAAACAAAAACACCCTCTTTCCCCTTTTCTTTGTTCCAGATAAGATGTTCTGTGTTTATTACAAAACCGCAATCTCTGAAACCGCATTGTATTTTTTCCCTTTCCACTCTCTGATTCAGATTTAAAAAAAACGAAACAAGAAGGGTAGAGGACACCGGAAGAGAGAAAGAAAGATTATACAAATGAGACCAATCTTTATGGATGGCTCGAGAAGATAATCCATATTATGGGAAGCTTTTTTATTCCTCCTCATCAAATCAAGACTGAGGATTGAGCTTTTGTTCTGAGCTTTTCCTCAAATAAAATCCATTGTCTGTCATGAAAGAGGAAAACTCTATATACAGCAAGTGAACTGAGATTTAAATCTGAAAGCAGTGAATGAATAGAAACTAAGAGTGAGACATTAATTAAAAGTGAATGTGGCTTTGTGCTCATTTCCATTTGTAACGTAATGTCATCCGAGCGCAGTGATGGTGTGACGGCAGGATCCAGCGCTATCAGAGAGATTTGAAACCAGCGTCCCAGAAGTTCTTCATATCCGCAACTGTTTACTCTCATGTAGATTAGTGACAACAGTTAACCACTACAGATGAGGACGCAGCCCCAGGGAAATTTGGATTTCTGTCCATCGTCAGTATGTGGCTGCTAAACTAACTAATCTCAGGTGCCATGAGAGAGCAAGGCTGATGAAACACTGACAGAGACGTATGGCAGAGCATGGGAGCTGCCACTCTTGTTCATGGCATCTATAAAAACAAATCAACTTATGAGAAGCGTCTCTTAAATTAAAAAGTTGAGTGGCTGTGAGTACAGTGGTCTGAAGCAGGCCTGAGTCAGTGTGACACGCAGCATCAGACTAAATGTCCTGAAAGTCTCTCTGTGGGCGTTTGAATCCCTCAGGTCACTTTAGTCCCAACAGGAGAATGGAGTCATACTTTCCATCTGTGCTCTGAGCAGTTTTGACATTTCAGTTTTTCTTCGACTTGGAATTGATTCTTTCACCACTAATTTCTTACTTTAAAAGTCTGAAATTCTACGATCACCACAGACACACTAGCTGCTTTCGGACGTGCACTATGGCAGCTAATAAACATAGGGTTACTTATAAATCAGTGACAGGACATTATAACCATTTTGAACCGGCTTACAAATCATTTGTATTCACAGACACTAAAAGCAATTATAACTTAAAGTTTTATATTATTAACATTTAAGTGACTTAGAAAACATGGATACATTTTCCTATGATTTCTATATAATTGTTCTGTGTGGTAGGGACACATTTTGTTTATGTTGAATTAAGACGTAAAAAACCCCAGAAGAAATATATAACAAACTAGCTCATGAATTTGCTGTCATTGTCCCTGTTATTGCTTTTATGTGTGGTAGGGTAGTAAAACAAACTTTAGAAGATGTCATAGACTGCAAATAAAAAAGATTTTCAATATGAGCACAATAGGTCAGAGGGAGTCTGATATTTAGTTTTATATTCCTCTAAGATTTGTGTGCAGTGAGTCCACCAAAGCGCCTGAAGGAGCTCACGGAGCTTGGCAAGTCATTGTAGATATTGCTGTATTATATATTGTGCACAAGCAACCTCTTCCCTGTAAAGCAGTTAAAGTACGTTAGCTAAAGCCCCCACTGGACCCTTAACAAAACTGAATCTACCATCCACAGCATGATTATAGCAGAGCTGGCGTAAAAGCTGGTAGCGTGCACGATGATCAATCTGGCTTCTAAAAGCCTCTTATTATTCTGCAGCTGCAGTAGTGATGAGATTAGGATGTCTTCTAAGCATATCAATGTTGTACGAATGTGCAGTGACTTCAACTCAACTACACCAGGTATCAGTTACTCACTCTGCTGCTGCTATCATCACTGCGGCAGAAAGAAAAAAAAAGGCAAAGAAAGTGATTAATGAAATATTCAATTCAATTTCAGTTCCTCGAGCGATAAAAAGGTTTAGAGGAGCCACTTGGATGTAACTTTCAGACACAGTTGATTTCTTTACCATTTTGAAGATCCTAGTGAGGGAGCCTTTTCCGTCCCCTGCACTGGCCTTCTTGGCTTTAGACTGTGACTTCTGGGTACCCTGCAAGAGACAGAGAGTGTGTTCAGAGAGTGTTGGAGCTGTTTGGCAGGGGACCGAGATGTTGCATGGAGCCCTTTATTACTTTTCAGTTCAGTGGGGAGAGGGGATGATAAAAGACAAATAGAAAAGTCAGGAGAGAAATAATACATAAAACCTGCTTTTCCAGCGTGTGCTCTAAAAACCTGAAAAGATCTGCGAGAACAAGATGTTGATTCTGGTGCAATCCAGTTCCTCCCTACTTTTACAGTATAATTGTGTTCACTGGCTGTTTGGCCTCGGTTGAGATATTCGCTCTACTGAGATGGAAAAGCTTCGGTTTGCAGATTGAAAACAGATTTAAAATCAAAGGCAAAACTTTCTTGTCCTTTTTGAACCATTGCATGCAACGACTGACTACAACATATTGCCAAGGAAAGCTGAAGTAACTAGATGTTAGATTCAGGCTTAGTAAGAAAGAAAGGAAAAGTGATAGACAGCCTCAGACAGCCATGAATTCAGCCCAAATGAAAACTATCATTACCTCCACCAAGGAGGTTACATGTTCACCCTGTCTGTTTGTTTGCTCATTGGTTTGTTTGTTGTTTGTTTGTTTATTAGCATGATTACACAAAAACACCAGGATGGATTACTATGACACTTGGTGGAAGCATGTGGTATTGGTCCAGAAAGAACCTGTTAAATATTGGTGTGTGATTTCTATTGAGGGGACAGATGCAGGTATTTGATTTCACTTTATTTAACATAATTTTTTTTTATTTGACTAGTTATGTGTATCTTTACTAGGTATGCGATCTACAGAGTTTCTAGTTTCTCCTTCAGCAGTGTCTCCTTCGTCCACAGCATTTCAATCTTTACGCCCATCCACCCTTGAGCTGCATCATGATTCAGATTAAGCAAACACACGCTCCCAAACGTACAATCACCAGGAGCCTGAATGAAGTGCTGATAATGTCACTAAAAGCAGGAGGCAGCCTCACTTCAGCTAGTCGCAGAGGAATTTAGAAATGAAACAAGGATAATGAAGAGAGGAGTGATGCCTGTGTTGTCATGAATATAAAAATGTATGCTCGTGATATGGACAAGTTAGGCGGCACAAAAAGCCACGAAATGGAGATGATCTGTTTAAAAATGGACTGAAGTCGGAGGGAAGTGAGGCTGTAATCACTGATGTATGGACAGATTACTACGGCTAAAGTGCTTGATGGAGACATAATGGAAATGGAACCACGGGCGTCACACTCAGAAGGCAGTTTTAGAGGATGGCCTCACTCGCCCTTGCTTCAGTTTCATCAGACAAACCAAACCTACCAGGCCCATCTTGGCTGCTAGTCCTGTCCACTGTGTGTGTAGAGAAACAAGAGACAAGCACAGGAGGTAAAAGACAGAGGGGACAAAATAGAAATGTGGGGCTTACTCAGCACAAAGGCAGGATGGGAAGGAGAGGAGGCAGGTAGGAGGGTCCGTCCAGGAGGGGGAGAAGTCACAGGGTCACGGGGGGGCAGGAGCAGATGAGGAACAGAGGGAAGGAGGGCAGATATGTGGGGGGGAGGAGAGAGGAGCGAGGCAGATGCTCACATTGAAAAGGGCACAAGTTTAGTGACATTCAGCAGCAAGACATAAATGCATTAAATACACAGTGAAACCCTATAAAGTGACAGGCCTCATGGGAAACAGTCACCATATAAACTCCTAATCTTACATAGTGTTAGATGACAAAGTAGATACCTCCTCCATGTCTGTATAGTTCAGTTACAGCTAGAACACTGCTCTTAATCAATGTCCCCTATATGCACCTCCAGACCCTACAAAATGATGATCTGTCATTTGTTCGAACCTTGGACTGTGTATTAAGGTTGGACTATGAGTTTTCTCCTGTTGAACAAAAGTAAAGTTAAATATCTCAGATCAGTCAGGTCAATTTGTATATGACTAATTACACTTGAACATACATCTGTGATAAGAACTGCTTCAAATGATAAGTAAGTCATAGTGAAAGATGTATTAGACGTGCACTTTGAATTAGTTTGGTCCATGCCCCAATGGCCAACGTGGAGGAGGTGGGGTTTATGAACTATACTGCAGCCAACCACCAGGTGGCGATTGAGACACTTTTGCTTGACTTTTGGGCAGCTGTCATGTCGTCCATCTTTATACACAGTCTATGGTTTGAACTGGGCAGTAACTTCCTGCCACTGCAATTTGTATTTGTTTTAACTTCAGTTTGTATTAAATAAACACTGTCCCTGTAGACAGAAGCAGGCTAGCAGTTTCACCCTGTACCTTAGTGGTTGTGCTAAGCTAGGCTAGGCAAGGGATCAATCTGCTCGTCCAAACACAAACAACACATTCACTGTTCACAAAATGTTGAAGGATTTCTCAAGATGCACTTTGTATGTCTTTGCACATTTGTCATATTTATTGTGCACAATTATAGGTTCAGGGCGTAAATGCAGTGTGTAAATGGTGGAAAGTGCACACCGGGACATAAATATTTAAAACATGTTTATTTTGTCTCTGAGCAAGATCAGATTGATTGTTGTATTTCGTTTTGGAGATTCAGTGATCTGGAGATAAAGACTCAAATGTCTGTCCTTAAAGGTGTGAACATTTACTGTGTTTTGTACATTTGCTGTCCTCTACATCTGTATATATGTATATTAATGTGTGTGTATGCACTTGTAGAAAAGGATCAGTGTGAATCAGACTCACCCTGGACTTAGGAGGGGCAGGGGACACCTGAAGAAGAGTTAATGACAGAGATTCATCAGAGTTAGTGAGAGACCAGGAGGAACAAACACAGAGGGTAAGGACAGAAGTGTCTGACCTGAGACACTGTGAGTGATCAATGGAGTTCATTCTGAGCATTACTCACAATCGTGCGGAAGAAATGGACCACAGCGTTTTCGGCTCCACGCTTACGAGGGGAGGTCGCAGATGCTTTCTGAGGGCCTGGAGAGAGAGCACCCCGGAAAGATCCCTGGAAAGGAAAGGAGAGGAGAGGAAAGGAAACATGTGACATGTGTGTAAAATGTATGTTCATGCACAAAACAATATTTACTTGGGCTTAAACTCTTGAGAGTGAAATGCTTCCTCAAATACTGAAAACCATGAAGTGTAAAATTTGTGTCTTAACTGATGAAGACGCAACACTGTTACAAAAGAGTTTATTTACCTCCTGGGAATGAAATAAATGAATAGCTGAAAAAACTCCTGTTTGAACAGGCCGCCCTGTTCTACTTACCTTTTGAATGATGAAAACAAAAGCACCAAAATGACATGTTGCCATAGCACCACAGGAGGTGGCTGATGGGAAACAACAGCGGCTCAGAACTGTTGCATAAATGAGATTACTTAACAATCATTTAGTTCTGAATTGAATTTTGAATTATTTTTTAGGTTAGGTAATAACTTTATCTTTATAATCACTGAAGACAGTAATATTTGACTTCAGTACAGTAGATCAACATTAATAGGATGCATGTCTTTTTCGATATGGATCAGGCTCCAGTGCTTTAGAGCAGGTACCACGTGTGGTGGTGTGCACGTAGCTGGGGTTTGTAACAATGGAGGGAGGAAATAATCTGCTGCACAATGTTGTTGGATACTTTATTTTAAATTACATTTCTTAAAACTTTTCTTTCAATGTTTTTGAAGTCTGCTTATTATCACTATCTGTTCCGACACCCGTGTAAAGAGTTACTTTACTGAATTAAGGTTTGAACTTCTTAACCTTGCAAACCACAGAAACGTTGCTGCTGAGAGGTAGCACCTGAGAATTTGAATATATTTCCATGCTGCCTACTCTACTTAGACATAAATCTCCTGCTAACTTCCATCCACCTTCAGATATTTATAAACTGCATTTGCGTGCTCCTCAAAGGTCCCATGTCCTGAGTCGTGAAGCCGTTTCTCCAACTTTGGTGCGTTCATGTGCTCTGACATGGGAATGTGGAGAAAAGCATGGACACTGTAAAAATAAAGTGTTGTACTCGTTTGTTCAGAGCATTTAAGAAACATCTCGTCACCCCTGTCCAATATTTGGAAATTATTGAAGAGCAAAGATAAGGGATTAAGGTGTAAACATGAAACGATATGAAATTTATGTATCACAATTATAGTGACCACAATTATCAGGTTTATCAGTTTAATTGCAAAAAGGATCTGAAAATGTTCAAAACATGAGTGAAGTAATGTATAAGTTATTATAAATAAAAGCACTGTATGAAATGTGCACCATCACACTGAAGAAGGAAGGCTTCAGCTCGCTAGAGAAGTCATTTAAGATTATCATGATGAGACTGAAGAAAGCAAATTAAGTAGCAGCGTGTTCCATCATTCGGTTCCTCCTGACGGCAAAGAAGACTGATGACAACTGAACTAAATCTTTAGCTCTGAAACTGCCTGAGTTGCTGTCAACCAATCACCATGATAATTACGGTAATTATAGAAATGGTAAAACCAACCATCTGTAACTTCATCATCATAGTGTGAGACCTGTAACCATTTTTATCCCTATTCGGATGAGAGAGGCAAAAAATTATTTTAAATGGCTGTAGTCGCTATAAAGTCTGGTGTCGAGCACTTCTGAATTTGTGTGGGTCAAAAGTGACATTTGACAAATTCATATGAAAGTTGCATTTTCTTGTCCTGGCTTTATCTTAACCAAGAAAATGAATTATCATCGATGCAGCCACATGCTTCAAAGTCAGAGTTTACCAAGACGAGCGCAGAACAAAACCCTCTGTCTTTAGGGCCCGCAAAAACTGGTGCGCATAAGAAAAGACAGAGAAGAAAATATGTTAATATAATAACTAATGCAAACAGCTCGGACACAAAAGGTGAAAGGTATGATTCCTCTCACACCAAACGCCATCAACAACCTGCCGCTCATGTGAGGAGGAAAATAACAAACAAATTTCCACCCACTCAGTATTTCCAGTCTTTTCAGTTAATGTTGCCTCATTCAGCCCGTTTCTCTGTGACCCCATTAATGCAGGAGGAAAAATGTGTGTGTTCACATCAGTGTGCGTATGTGTGTGTACGGGGGGAGGTGTAGGCCGCACTGTTGATGATTCACACCCATTATTTCACATCAAAGAGCTTAAAGGTACCAAAAGGGAGGAAAATATCGGCAGTGCCATCGCCGCACAATGTGAGAGACGTGCGCTGTTACATTATGTGCCACCTTTACTGTCTTTTTGGGTTTTTTTCATGAAAATGGATCAACGAACACACAAAATCACAGCTTGAAAGGGGGGTGGGCTTGGTTTTTATGACTGATGCCAGAGGTTTCTGTCAATTTGTAATATCCAGCAAAAGTAGATTTATAATAATGACTATTTCGACGTTATGATGTCTGTTGTCATAATGTGTATTCAGCTCCTGCAGCTTCCTCAGTACTTCAACAGTGACCCCATTTAATTATGTCCTCTCCAGATTGTTACTCTGTGTGTGTCGGTGTGTGTGTTGTTTGACCAGATGCAAATGATGGAGGCAGAAAGAAAAATGGTAGGAGAGAGAAAATAGAGCAGCCTTGGTGACCTCACCTTTTGTTTGGGGCAGAAAAGAACAAGAGATGAGAGAAGAAACAGGAGATGAAATGAAGCTCAATGAATCCTGGATGGTGCCTCTCAACTCCAGCCCTTTGATGTGAATGAGTCTCTGCTGAGCATTTCCTCTCTTCTTTAAAACCCTTTTCTGTCTTTATTCTTCCATTTGAAAGAGAAAAAAATAACAACCTGTGTATCTTCTCATGACGTCACACATGATGTTTCACTCAGTTTAAGCAGATGCATCCAAATATGATTTAAAATGTACACATATTTGTCTGGATGTGATGTTTCCGATGTGCCATACTCTTAATGGATACTTTCAGATCTTCAGATGTGGCCCGGAGGCACTTCTGCCAAGTCTGAGCTGTTATTAAACTTTGTTCCTCTTGCTAAATTTAAAGCCGTTTTTGTAAGTGTTCAGTATTTTGTGCCGCCACCGCTGCTGCTGTGTGGCTGTTTAAATTTCTCCTCAAAATCTCCATTTGCAATCATTGACCCTGTTTGATGTCTGAGAAGTGGTTCAGGTGTGTTTGTGTAAGAGAGGAAAGAAGAAGAAGAAGGTGAAGAGATGAGAAACAGCTCACTTTCATCTGCCTGTAACACACACACACACACACACACACACACACAATTTTGTGCACAATCAGTGTAGAAACATCCTTCCTTTGAGTTTCCTAATAATAGTGTTGCTGTTTTTGTCATTGAGAAAATGAGCTAGTGGAGTTGCAAAAAATACGGATGTGCACAAATGTAACACCCAACCTATTCATTCCCTCAATGGCGGATGTCTAGGTATCACCTTTTCATTTATCCCCGTATCAACTTAATTTATTAATAGGTGACTTGTTTCTGCTGCCCCCATGTGGCCTGAAAAAATCTGTCATTGCATTTTTTACGGACAGATGTGTGGTGTCGACCTTTTCCTCTAACTCTGCCGGAGGAAACTATCAGGACGCAGGTAGAGCAACAATGCGTCCCCGGGCCGAAGCTTATTACAAAGTGCGGATTAATGATCGCAGCCGTCTCCTTCGAGGTCAGAGGTCGCTGCCTGGCCATGAGCCTGCTTTATTAGGAATGATGTTTGATAATCAAGTTTGAAGTGGGAAGAGCTGGAGATGGTTGAGAATGGTTATCTTCATCATTAGCGAAGACCTTCATGCGAGGAAGCAGCACTTCTCTATCTCACACAGTCATGCCCCCCTGTGGTTGTTAGGAAGCTCCAGGTGTCAGCGTCTCTGCAGCTTCACACGTGAACTGTACATATCAGCCCTTGTACCTGTGGTCCACAGTAATTATTACGTTCAACTATTAAGAATATCCTTTTTTTGTAGTTGCACTTTTTCAGGTTGACTTACAGAGGTAGTGCTGGGCCATCGATCTGCCTGACAAACATAGCGATGTGTCTGGCAGTGGAAATAGACTCTAATGGCAGCCGCAAGATCAAGCACAGAGTAAAAAGGTTAATTAAACGTTTATCTGTGCTGTCGTTCAGGACTGATAAGGTAAAAACTCATTTCTAAGGGACTGTATGAAAAGTTATTGGGGTTAAGTTTATTTTAAGATACATTTTTAAATTGGCCATATTTCCTTTGTGTTATGATATCAAAAGGTCTTAAATTACTGTACATCATTATTTTTAATGGCAAAATTATGTCAAATCTATTTGGTATTTAGGATAATTGGAGACTCAAAACTTGCCTGTAAGTTGTGATTAGTTGTTTGTCTCTGTTTAGACTTGGTGTTAACATCTGAGAGATATGATCATAAGTGTGCAGTGTTAAAGGGATAGTTCACAGAAAAATGAAAATTCACTGAATATCTACTCACCACTATTCAGATGGAGGAGTGGATGAAGTGTTTGAGCTTCTTAAATCTCAGGGATAAACTTTGTTTATACAATTGAAGTCAATGCAACTCCTTCTTCAGACATAGCAAAACGACAGAAAAAACATAAAATGCCTCCATACTGCTCGTGTGGTGTCATCCAGGTGTCCACAAGCCCCGACAATTATATTCGACTCGAAACATCATAATTTACATCGTGTTTTAAACCTAAATGTCCTCTGATATTCTCCTCTGTGGCACGTCCGCTAGCATCGCCACTTCCGGTGGACTTGTACGCTTAAGACACAGAGTAAATGATGCTGTTTCAAGACCAATATGAATGTGGGGGTTTGCTGACACTTGGGCGACACCTCACAAGCAGTGTGGCGTCAGCCATAATGTTTTTTTTTGTTTTATTACGTCTAAAGAAGAGGTCACCACTTACCTACATTTTCTTGGATTCAGCTGAAATGCTGTTTACCCAGAAGTGTTTTGTGGACTCAAAGGCTTCACCCACCCCACCATCGGCATAGTGGTGAGTGGGTAATGAGTGAATTTCATTTTTTGGTGAACTATCCCTTCAGGTATTCACACCTGAATGAATGGTCATTTATGATTCATTTCCCAGCTCTATGTGAAAATAATCATGACGGTCATTTGTGTTCGCTAAGACCAAATAATGTTTTATTTAACGCAGCTTGAGTTTACAGATGTCCACGACGACATTTGTGTGTAGGTGTGTGATTGATGAGATGGACTTGGAGAAAGATTTCACACATTTGAAAAAGTTTGAGTGTGGTCGCAAAATGATCTGTGTGATCGGATCTCAGGAAGCATTGAGGATACATTTGAGTGTGTTCACACCAGTATAATGCGGATCACTCAGGACGGATGTTGATACTGACAAAGCTCAGGCTTAGGTCTGAATCTGTGCTGTATAGAATGGTGACCTGTCCAGGGTGTAGCTCGTCTTGTGCCCAGTGTCAACTGGGACGGGCTCCAGCTCCCCCTGGGATAACTGATGGATGAAACTATACTTTTTGGGGAAGCTGTTGTATCTTTTTCTTTTCTTTTTTTAACTAAGGCACATGTTCAGGCCTCTTCCCCACCCAACTAATTTTCACACAGTCCCTTAAGGTTCATTTGTTTAAACATTTGCCAAGAAGCCCATAGCAGCACAATCAAAATTAAATGCTTGAATAACATTTGCTCTTTTCATTTCTTGAACTCAGAGGCTACATACGCAGAGATTTCACTGGCTCTATTAATGTGTGACCGATAAAGCAGGCCTGCTGTTGATTCTCCAGTATCAATCATTTGCACCTTTTCTTTAAATCAAATTCAATTAAAATAAGAGTCTCTCCAAGCTCCTTGTGTTTGTCTAGTGTAACAACCTCCTGTGTCAGGGCGCCTGGCTACTGGAGATGAATACAATTGCATATTTTAGCATCTGAACACAGAAATGTAAATAAGCCAGCACTGACTGAATCTGCGAGCAGAACTCACAAGAGGCCGAACCCTTGCGAACATGCTGCTGGTTACATTAACACAAAGTTGCTTCTGCAAATTTTAGATTAATCACTAGTGAGTCTAAATGAATGACTTCAAATTCACACGCGTCTCCAGGAAACACGGACGAGGAGCCTGCGGTGAGTTCTGACCCTTTCATTCGTCACATCGAGAGTGAAAGAGTGAAAGAGCGAAAGGTTTATTTTATTTTCTCCTCTCGCTGTTTCCTCTTTAGGCTCAAAAAACAACTCAAGCCAGTCATCCATTACTCCCAACTATCAGAAGGGAGATGAACAGTAGCTCCACTTTCCATTAAACCTCCTCTGATAATTTCTTTTGTTTTGCATAATATAAATGCGACTGACTGACTCAACTGTGAAATATATTTATTCGTCTTGGTGTCTATAATCTTGAGAGTGACACTGCAAACAAAGCCCAGACACGCTGAATGAATATTCAAAGTTAAGCATCGTACATCTAGTTGCTTTTCTTAGTCTCAAAGGGCCAAATATAACATTTTAAAAAATTTGAGTCATCGAATCAGAGCGGCTGACTGTTAACAGGTGTTAGCCGAGCAGTTAGAACAATTCATCACACTTTCACAAGAGAATAAGAGTAAAAAACTGAGACATTAAGACATGAATTAAAACAAAAAAAACAAGTGTTGTTAAAGAGTTTTAATCAAGCAGTAATCCAAAAAGAAAAAGAACTCTGAACAGGATCAGGTTAGGAACAGAAACAAACGGTTACAAGAGTGGAAGGCGTTACAGAGTCGGGATCAGCAGCGATCCATTGAAACTCTCCCACTGGGTCAAAGACATGTGAACCTGAGGTGAGCTACAGCTGATGTGGGGCTCCATCTGAGACCCCGGGGGTTAGAGGACAGTGTCACACAGGTTTTGGTTTCTGTTCAGCAGAAAAAGGTTGCTCATAGAAAATAAATCACTCCTGCCTCTTAATATAGACCTGATTCTTTTGCCATTCAAGAAATTCAGATGCAAATCAGCATTTATTCTTTATAAGTCGCTTTTTTTATTTTACTAATGTTCACGCAAACTTAATTTCCTCTCCAATTAGCTACCCCTGTAATTTGAAATGATAAAAAAACTGTTAGCATTTAAATGCTGATTTCCTGCCGTCGTTTCACATCCTGAGTCTGGTGCTTGTTGGTTTTCTTTTTTTTTTTTGTCTCTCATTTCATCATTTTAACACTTTGTCAAAGCTCAGGCTTAGGTTAATAATATAGTAAATCAGACAAAATACGTAAAAAAAAAAAAGAAGCAAAAAAAGCACAAGCAATCAGATGGTAAATGGCTCCACAGCCTTAAAGCATAAAAAAATCAGCTTTACTGAAATAAACATGCATAGCATAATCCATAACAGCAAGCAAGGACACAATCTTCCTAAGAACACTGCAGCCAACACATCAGAGAATATGTGTGGAGAATCTGTGTACAGCTAAATAAAATGTTTCCATGATGAATTCTTTCTAGAAAAATAAGTGTTTGCAGCAGAAAGTTAATGCAGCCTGTTTTTACTTTGCTAGGCAACAGAGGTGGGCCGAACCTGTCTGTCATTTACTTGAGAAGTTGAGATGTTAACACTCATCATTTGAAGGCAAACCCTTGGTGAATACATATATATATATATATATATATGTGATATATAAATATCTTTGCACAGCTTTTTTAGTTTTTAGTAAACCGTCATTAATATGGAGAGAAATGTACATATTTCTTGTGGCAAAAAGAGAACAATCAAAACAAAAACAAAAAAATACTGCAGAAAATTGATCACGAGCATAAATGTTGATTGAAAGCTTCACAACTTGTTCTGTTGACATTTTCCCTGAACATTTCAAGAAGTAACAGTTTTCACAAAAAGCTAAGCAAAATCATCTGAACAGCAGAACAGGCTCATGCTAAAGGCTTGTTTATGCTGCCGCTTCGAATGATAAAACTGTCACAAGCTATCACCTCGGTTGGTTGTGAAACAATACATCCACTAGAGGGCAGTGCAGAGATGATCATTTCTGACGAATTCAAACATGGCAACGGTGGAGGAGTTTGTCCGTGTGCCATGCTCAAATATCGTACAGATGCCTGTCGTTTCTTTAAAAAAAATGCAGTCTCAAAAAGTACGGCCATTGATGACATTTCTTCCTTGTGTCTTATGGTCATCTCGCCTGAACAATTGGCTACACTGCCCCCCACGATTTCAGGTGGTACTGCTTCATTTTGGCTGTAAGCTTTGAGAAAACGCCCACAAATACAGACGAAATTGAGCATGAATGAAACTTGAGACTTCTCATCCTGAATCTTAAACTGAACACCTTTTCATAGCTGACATAAGGCATGAGGGGGGACTGCATATTTTCATCCTGCTCTTTGATTTCTTTGCCAAAGCACTGATTAGTGCTCCAAGGGTTAGAAATGGTGGACGTTATTATCAGGATTTAGCTCTCTGTAACATAGCTTTCATCAGGGACGTCCATGTTTCAGCTGTACAGATGTGACTCATAATGGGGCTATAACACTGCCAGGCCTTCCTCCTGAAATCACTATAAGAGGCTGTGGGATTCAGCCTCAGCTTGTTGCAGTACAGTGTTTTTCAGGATTACTGAATGGTGTCCCTGAACATTTACACCACATTTGGCACTGAGGCTGGAATCCCAGTTTCAACACCACCTCCAGATGGCATCACTGAGTGAAGGGCCCTGTGGAGTGGAAAGGCGTGGAACCAGCAAAGCTGCAGTCTGGTTCTTAATAACAGTGCCAGGCAGTCCATCATGACTAGAAGTAGATCCCAGTCTGTGTGAAGTGGTGGATAAACTGGTGCCAGGTGCACAAACATAAATTTCACCACAGTAACAATAAGCCAACACAACATGCTACTTTTTGCTTTATTTTTGACAAAGTAGACCTGATTAATAAAGTTTAATATTTACTTATCATTATTCTTTGCTATCCTGACCTCACTAGAATACAGACTGATTAAAAAGTAATGCAGGCTCAGGATAACTGGTCTAACAGATTAGATAAACCTGCTCTTACTTTATGAGTTGCAGCCTCCTGTATATATTCCCAAAGAAGGGGGTTGATAATATGCTCCTACTGAAATATACTGCATATCATTATATGTTAATATACACTGACTCCCTCTCTGATCATTTATAGAATAATATAATCATTAATTTAGAAAGTGACTTTGCAGACTGCTATACTGTTTAAACTGCAGCAAAGCACCTCCCTGTGGCCCAAAGAGACAAAGGAATCGAAGACACAAATTTTCAACGAAGCAGCACTAACGCTCTAAAGAATTCCCAAAGCCTTGAAAATGTACCAGCATCATATCTTAATTATATCAGCATCAATTCCCACCGTCATCATCTTTAAGGGTAGTACCTGAACTGAAACATAGCTGTTTTTATCTCCACTTTGTCAATAGTTCTAATAAGCAGACTGTAATTTGACAGTAACAAGCTAACAAAGTCCATCATTTCACATTTACAACAGATATATTAAAAACAAAAGCTATTGATGTCAGTACCATTTAAAGAAAAACAGACCAATATAGAATTGTATCCTAAAAAATGATTCAAAATCACAGCCTCTTGTAATAAAAGAAAATCAAATAAAACAAGCTCCACCCAAAGTCATTAACCAGCATTGATTCATCAACTAGCCAGTTACCATGAATCGTAGGACAATATTAGACTCAGGTTCACCATGAAAACAACATTAAAACCACCACGTTTCTATATATTGCAATAAATTCTTACAAGATTTAAAGAATTAGAAGTAAAAAAAAAAGTGGTTCTGGGAGTGAATCAGCAGAATGAGATACATGAGAGGGGTCAAGTTTTTTTCCCACCTCAACTCTCCCTGCATTCTCACCTTGCTCTTCCTCTTTTTGTCCCCTCCGAAGAACTTTCCGATCTGATCCAAAAGGCCGGGGTTCTTCTTCCTGCGGCCAAGCCCAAAGGCGGCCTGTGCGGAGCTGCTTGCAGATGCCATAGTAGTAGCTGTAGTTGTTGGTATATTTGTATTTGTCAAATTTGGGGTTCTTGTCGCTCTCTTAAATGAGAGACTGAAAGATAGAGTAAGGAGAAGAGAAAAGAGAGGAGAGGGAGAAAAAAAAAGCTAGCCTAATCTAGTTCCTGTTCGGGAGTTTCCGACCCGCACTCTGAAGCCGCTCCACTGTGCTCCTGGATGGTCTGTAGCTCATCCGATTCGGAGGGTCGCTCTTTGAAGGTGTTGTCCTCGCGGCCCGGGGCATCTCGGGAGAAGAGGCGGGCCAGGTGGGGGCGTGGCGTAGCGGCGTCAGGGTCAGCTGTGCTGGCTGGGGTCCAGGGCTGGTGGGGGCCCTCAGTGCCCGTGGAGTCAGTCACCGCCGGCTTTGTCGAGATGCAGCCATTGTTCTGGTTCGCATCTGCCTCACCCAGTCCTGTGCAGAAACAAACAAGGGTCATCTATGGGCTCGGGCCTGCATGGCACACAACAAACCACAGCAGCAGCACAATGGGCTCTTTTGACGCAGCCGTGCCCTTCCTGCTGTAGCAGGGAGCAGCAGAGCTAACGTTTCACATCTTCACTCGGGTGAACCTGCTGAAGTGGAAGAGGTGCCGACCTGAGATCAAAGACGTTTGTATGTTGGCCAAGACACTAGCACAAAAACGGAAAACACACCAGCAAGAGCCATAACGCAAAACTGACAACACAACTGCAAAAGCCACAACAAAACTACAAAAGCACACACACAACGGAAAACAAAAGCACAATGGAAGTGAGCAACGGAGCTTAGAGATGAAACAAGGAGAGCTGCGGAATTACTAACTTGATCCATACATCATAAATCAGGCTTAAAGCGCCCAAAAACGATTCATCCAAAATGTCTGTGTACTGGCTTGACCGGGTTTTGACAAGCGATGGCTCACTTGACCACAAAAAACAAAAAGACAGCAGAAGTCTGTTCATTTCATTGTCAACATTGTGCATTTGTGTCGTGGCTTTTGCAGTAGTGTTGTCATCATTGCAACTGTGTATCACATTAATGTGGTTGTGTGTGGGGTCTTGATCACCGTACATTAGCAACTGAAAACTACTCCCTGAACTCTTGTATATTGTCGTCTCTGAGGTCACTTTCACCACCTTCTGTTTTTAGAGGTGACGACTACTGAGTCAAATCAATGTTATAGCAACAAACGCCAGCTTAATTTCACTGGTGTACGATGCATCAGTGCTTAAACACAACTTTACAGAGCTTATATTAATAATTCACGTTTTTAGGGCGAGAGCTTCTAAAACAATGAACAGAAATAAATCTGCCTGACATGTTCAGGTTGCATCACCTCACAGTCCCTACAGTACCACAGTTCACGTTTTCAGTTGAAAGTGTGTTTCAGTGCGATAGTCCCAGTGAGATGAAGACACAGCTGTTCCTGTTAAGTCCACTTTGACAGCTATCCATTAAGCTGCTCAGCTCCCACAGAGTTGGACATCCAGCACATTCCTGCCTCTGACACAATATCCACACTGTACTGGCAGAAATGGTGTAGCACTACAGAGAATCTGCATGCTAATACCAGCGGAACAGTGGGTCGTTGTCAGAGCTGCATAGTTATTATGGAGAGACAAAAGGCCCAGTGTCACTAAAATAACTCCTATAAGTATGGATTTTCAGCCCAATGCACGGTGACACTTATCTGATTTGGTACCCGAGAGCTACGAGGCTACTGTCTCTGCTTCCATAGTTCGTGCTATGTCTATAAATTCTCTCTATGGCTTGCTAGATGGAATTACTCCTGATAAAAAAATCTGTAGTAGCAACATTAACCTCTAATTATTTGGGCCAGTGTGTTCTCCTGCTCGTTTTCCTTCTGGCACATTTGCAAGTCATTTATCCAATGTTAATATCATTGGAGAATAGATGCAAATATGACTTGAGCATTACAGGAACTCTGGTACATATCTTTATTATAAGGCCTGGACTTTTTATAGAGTTTGCCTTTCAATTATGCGGCAGGAGATTCTGTGGTCAGACACTTTCCAACAACAGGAAAGTGTTCAGATGAGGGCTCAGCATGCAAGATATAGGACGTAACGTAGAAATTCCGCTGCAGAGATTATGTGTTTGGAGTTTTTGTCCATGTCCCTCTCTTCTACTTATACTTATACTTTTTTTAGCTTTGTATCACATGTAAAACATCAGCACACCCACTCACTCGTGGTGAATTCTTAGGATACTATCCTGCTGTATTCACACAAGGACTCATCTGGACCGGGGGGCTGGTAGGAGAAACTCAGGAGAATGTCTGGAGCCATTCACTCGGATATTTGTGTTCTCAGATCGTTTCAGGAGCTTAAGCAGAGCTCAGTGCATGTCTGAAAGCAGCTTTGGTTTAAAAAGAATAAGACCAACTTTGGTTGTTTGAGAAGGGGAGGCCTTAAGGAGCCACCATCCGTCATGCCCGCATCACTGCTCCAAATGTGAAATCTGTTCAAAACACTGTTTATGGGGAAACAAATCTACTTTGTTTTTCATCTTAAGGATTTTATGCACAATTGAAGATGGCCCTGGGGTGGGGTTGTGCACAGTCGCCCACCAGATGGACTATCTTAAATGCACTTTAGAAAAACTATTTTTGTAGGACAAGTCAGCTTTTACATTTTTTGACTGTTCATCAGATTGCTTCACTATTGAATAGAACAGATCAAGACACTCAAACATCCTTCAGAAAATGACCTTGAACGTCTTTGTGTATTGCGACATGATGGTAAAAGGCCTTAATAAAAACCATCTACTAATACTTTCTTCTTCATCATTATCCCATGACCCAGATGGCAACAGCAGGGCCGACACACACCCTGCCCTGCACTGCTGTACAAAGTACTTTGTGAATGTTGTCTCGCTCATTGCATCTCATTCTCATGTAATCACATCCTCGTCAAGGTGAACAAGCCTCAGCGAAAAGCTCAAGCTCTTAGAGGCCCTTCTGAGACAGAACGAGTTCCCAGTATAAATTAATCAGATTCTTTCAGGGTTAAAAGCTGATTCAATGCAAAGTTATTATCAAAAGTGAAATCAATGAAATGTAGAAATTAAGAGGTCCACAGCTTATAAATAAAGCAACTTTAAGTAATTTTGTGATTATGGTATTTTTGGAATTATGTGCAGTTTTGCTTTTAGCCCACTTGAACATTATGGCTTTGAATAATACTGACGCTAACATATTAGCTATTTATTGTTAAAATAGGCATCTGTGCACAAGGATGAGCTACGTATTAAAACCTGCAGTGAATGGTTTCCATAGTCTCCCCTGTGCTCTGAAACGTCTTTTAAATTGAGATGGAAAGAAAAGTAAGTGACTCTTTCCCGCTCAGCTTGATGCCAGATTTCTTGATAATAGTTTTTCATTTGAGGAGTGTGTGTTTGTCAGCAGTCAACAGTTTCAAGAAAAACCCTTCAAAAGACATGTTATTATTACTAGTTATTATTACTAACTTAGCACTTAAGAACAGGTGAACATCTGCTCACTCATGTTCACATCCAACATCCTACTAAGGAAAACATCTCAGTGGTTTGATGGTGAGGGATCTGAAAATGATAATTTCATCTGAATCTCAATCTGAGTGATAAAACTGGTGAGCAGAAAAGCATCCCAGAGTGCACAACACTTCCTCAAAACAAGAGGTGGACTGTCTATAACTGCATTTCACCATTTTTTTCTACAAAGTTTTTCTAAACAGTGCAAATTACAGACCTTCCAATCTGAAAAGTTTTTCAGCTTCTGTCTGAAAATTGTGTTGATTGCTTGACAGACCTCTGCAATAAAATGCAATATGTGCTGCTTCAAAGCTGGGTCAGCTTGCCAACCCTTTAGGAACCACTTATAGAGCCATACAGCCACACCATTTTGTCACTGTATATGTCTTGGATTTTCCAGCAGCACTTCAAGCACAACATCAACAATGGCGGATCACAGAGTCTCGTTAGGTTTTGCTCCTGGCTTTGCAACTGTATTGCACTGTACCATTGGCATCCAAATACGACAGGTTTAAAGCATTTGTACAGCTTGCAAAAATAGTGGTCACAATGTTTTTTGGTTGGTCCCACCCCTAGCCCCTGAACCAAGCAGTACTTTCTTCAAGAGGAGCAAAGTGTTGGTGCCAGGGTCAAAGCAGTTTTTTGTGGTCACATGAAACATAAAAAACTGGTTAGAGACTAGGTCTTAAACAACCTTGGTGGAAAAGGGGTAGCTTAGTGATTGCTGGCCAAATGCTAACATTTCTGTCTAACAAAACAAATCTTCTTCAGAGTGGAGGACGGTCAAGTCACTGAAACCCCACTGTTTTCAATCTTCCAAAAAATATGACAAGGTGCTTTTATTATTGTTCTGGAATGTATCAATGTTATTCACCTTTTACTGAAATGATGGAATCCTGCGGAGATAACAAAGTGTACTCACCTGTACAGTTACCACCGTCATACACAATCTAAAAATAATGATCTGAGATGATTTTATCTCTGGGTGCCAAATGAAATCCATCACATTGAAAAAGACTGTAATGATCCTTTAACTGCTTCTCATGATTGCGATCAGCTATATTCAATTATTCTCTACCTACTTCATCATGTTTTTTTCTTCACACCAAACATCCATTATTAAAATATATTGTTATTAAAGCTGCATGGTGTCTGTGAAAAAGATGATAGGTAGGAGCCAAATGTCTCTGTGAAAGATTATACAAATATTCTATTAACTTTATAAGAGTTTTAAATACATGAGCAAAAATGTGACTGAAAACAAGTGGACTGTATAAAGCAAGTGCCTCTAATCTATACTATTTTCTCTTATGTATGTTTTATGGAGACAGACAGGAAATTAAGACAATACCTTGCTGCCTGACTGGTAACAAGAACTGTAAGTAATGCATCATGACAACTCCAGTATGTTAGATAAGGAAACTGTGAGGACACAATGTTATGATTTGTTCTTTCTGCCTTCTGCCCTATCTAAAACCCGTACACAGCTGCCTGCTCTCTACACAGCTCACAATAACTGTCTTTGACTTGTTCGCTGAAAGTTCCTTCTCCCGTTAAGTTATATCAATTTCTTCTGGTTCACCTCTTACAGTGCGAGCTATGAGATAAACCTTGCTTACTTTTTTTCTTTAAAATAACACAAATTGACTCTCAATAATAGGAACGGCTAATTTATTGTTAAGGCAAATCAGACATTGACGGTTTAAAATACTTAATACTTAAGTTACATATTGAAATATCAAGTGCAATTCTCTTCACACATCACTCTGGTTTTGAATGAATCCTGTGCATCACTAGGTGCGTCATTACATCACATGGCAACTGAAGGTTGCATACTGCCAGATCCATGAAGAGAGTGTGTAGCCACCATTAAATGTGATGTTGACTAAGCATATAATGAT